CACTTCAGCCCGCGCGCAAGGAAAAGAATTGCGGCTTATAACCTGGAAAATAGGGTAATTAGGTTAATCTGTGATGCAAGTTCTCCAAACTTGTAAAATTTATCTCGTGGCGTGGCTGCGGCTACATTTTTTTCTAGAACGGGGTAATGAAACCGCAAAACTTTTGAGAATCATCTTTAACAATCTTTCGGAATGTTGCTGAAGCCAAGCACGCTTATCCAAAAAACTTCCCCCCCCTTTCTTTTCCCCCAAACGGAAATTCCGGGATAGCCACTGGATAGTAACACATGTTAGATGGAATAGAAAACGCGTGGAAACATGGAAGGTGGATAGAAAATGCGTGGAAGTTTTTGGAGCATTAGGTATAGGTTTTCTTTTGGCTGCGCGTATTCTCTTTGTTTACGAATTCACTCTATCCTTCCCCATGCGGGATTTCTTCAATTCGCTACTATAATGTTTATCATCGATAGAATAGAGAATGTTCTTACATTCTTTTCCTTGAACATATTTGCGGTGCAAGCAATTTTCCACTGATTTATTAGCTCATTCGCCCTTGGGTAGCAATTTCTCAGGCACTGGCTAGTAGATGACAAATTCTTGCTAAGAAGGATAAAGTTTTGTTGTGAGTTTTCGTTCAAGCACATTTAAATTTTTGCAACTCAACAATAGATAAGCTGTACAGCACTGCATTATTGTACTGCATTATTAACACTCAAATTATTGCTGTCAGTTCGTTATAACAAACGACCACTTGATGAGACGTTCTGAAATTAAAGTAGCAAACGGGCATCATTCGCATACTAACTTGAACATGAGTAAGTTTAGGAACACTTGATTAGAGAATTAAGAAGTATGTTCGAGACACATGTGTTGAGAAACATTCATTCATTTATTCCAACTCTCTATCAAATTATTATATTAACCCTTTCGACATGAATATCCGTAACTGATATGCTAGGTTGTGTGAAGGACTTTGTATGAGCAAAAATCATAAGGGAAAAGAGGCTTTTAATGGCCTTATTTAGAGAATATTTCTATCACCATTCGACTTCTATGAATTCTTCTCCGTGGTAGTGAGGGCTATGTGCTCCTTGGAATCCTCCAACCTCTACTACATGTCCGCCGTGGGCTTCTTCATGCTCGTGTTCTCCTCCCAAGATGTGAGGTGAGAATACCTACACGTATTTATAAAAGAGAAGTGTAATTTGCACAAAAATGTATTACCTCAACTACTAGCCTTTCCTGACTGAGAACACGAGGCGATAATACCGAGGGACTCAGAACGAAAACTTGCAGTGCTCCTGGTGTCAATACGGCGGGTGCGATCAATGCTAAAAAGAAATGCTATGCTTGCTTTTGACACTGAGATTCGATACATAAAGATTACATGGACTCAATACTTCCACGACAAAAGCATCTGGACTGAGCACCAGGGGGTTTAGTGCATTTGGAGAGAGGATTTCGACAAGCTAAAGAGAGTGATATATAGCAAAGAATATGGAAAAGTGCATTTTATATCCACTTCCATCTTTACTTTTAACGACTTACGTATTAGTATATGGTTTAGAGATCTTCGGATTTTTAGGAAATTGCATCATGCGTACTCAAGTCTCCTTCAAATTCTTCTTCCATTGAGCCACTAGCCTTCCATCGCATGATGTTCTCCAGTATAATGTTTCTACTTTGTCGTCTTTCCGAGTTAACATCTGTTTTGGCAAATCTCTTTTTTGTCGCTGGCAACCTCTTCACAGTCCTGTCCAAAGAAGCCTGCATACAGCC